AATAAATAGAAAATTTTATTGTGAATTACCATTATTTTGCAAAATTCAATAAGTTATCTTGATTTAATATGTATATAATTAGAAAATATTCTTTATCTACAATATTAGTGATTGAATTAAAAATATTTTTTTGCATAATTTAAAACTTCTTATATAATACAAATAAAAAAAAATTAATTTTATTTTGTGAAAGAATTTAATAGATATTACATCTTACATATTTTTTTTGTAATTAAATCAAATATCTTTGTTCATGTTATGTAGCTAATATTTAAATATTAAACATGTTTGTTTATTAACTGAGATAAGAGTGACAATTTATAATATTTATTATTAAATATAATATTTAATAGAGAGTATTATGATCAATCTTGTCCCATTCATATGATTAAATAGATTGATATTGTTAAATTACAGTGTGATTATCAACCAATAAAAATAAATACATGATATCCAGGTATCACTATAAAAAAATTTCATCTTCATGTCAAGTTCATGTGACAAATGCTAGGTGACATTTATAGTTTCTGCATGTAAAAGCAAGAAAAATTGATATTTGAATGGTGTGATATACAGTATACTTGCACGCAAAATTATTTTGAGGCCCTGAAATTGCAATTTCGAGAAAAAAAGTTAAAATAGTTTTTCATAGAAAATGAAATTATTTTACTTAAAATCCAAAATTTTTTGATCACCTAAATTTATTCTTTGATTAAAGATACATATAACTAGGTACTTTTTTTACTTCCATATATAGAATAGATTTTGCATAAATCTCAAAAAGTTGAAATATCTCAAAAATCCAAAATCAATTTTGGAAACATGTATAATACACAGTGATGAATATACTACCCTGATAAACTTATGCATTTATGCACATGAGGTGAAATTTTTTATGACAGTATTGGGTAAGATGTGATCGAAATTATTTCACCTATGATAAATATTTGGTGACAGATATTTTGTAACAAATATATAATTCTCATGTAAAAAAACCTAGGATATCTAATAAAAATTGATATTTGAAGGAGTAACGCACTTTGATAAATACACTACCCTTGAAAAATCTTAACCCCTACAGTATCTACAGTATAGGTTAAATTTTTTTCTTTGTTGTGTTGTTTATCTTGATTAAAAAAATCACAACTTGATTATTTCACAAACTCTTAAAATTAATCTATATAAATGTTTCACTTTTTTCCAATTTCTTTTTTTTAATTTCATTAAAAAATCATGGCAAACTTTGAATTCCAATTTTACATTTTATTAATAGTACTAATAATTTTATTAATAATAATAATGAAATAGAAGGTACCTTCCTATATACTAGCAATGCCAATCATAATGTCAACAATAATAAGAGAAGGAGGTGCCACCCAGACCACTTAAAGGAATATGAGATATATGGTTTAAAAAAAAGGAGATATAATTGATAAGCCTGGTATATATAATAATATTAATTTTCTAGTATAGTATTTGCTGGCATTTTTAAATATTTACAAATCTCTTTAGGTTTTACTTGAAAAAAATGAATAAATATAATAATATAAAATATGTATAGATCCTTTAAGTAAGTATAACATCTTTATTACAATCAATCACATTATTTTTATTACATTTGTAAAGAAAAAGTCTAAACAATGATTATTTTTTTAGGTTGTTCTGGGTGTGTCATCATTCGTATGTTATTTACTTTATATATTTATATAGACATTTTCTTTTTTTTCTTCATTTTCTTTTTTTACTATCCTTTTCATATTATATAATTATTATTTGATTTTGTATATATATTTTATTAATAAATGAATGTTAAACAAATATTTTGATAAAGAGCCTGTCTCTAGTGTAGTTGAATTAATCCATCCATACACGAATATATATTTTATATCTCACAGCATTCCAAATTGATTGTTTTTGTGTACTTTGTTCTTTCATAGATTAACTTGACAAGGCAAGTACTTTCAAACATTCCTCACTTTATTCAAATGAGCTTTTATTAATGATATGTAACTATAGATAGTTTAAATTTAGTTGTCAACATCTGCAGTTTTAGTGATTTTAGTGGTTTCTCTTTCCTTCTCTTCTATCAAAAAGTCTTTAATCAAGATGTGAATGGAATAGTAAAAGATTAGTAAACAATTATTTACCATATGTTACAATTGATCAATATGTATATGTACACAAAAAAACTAAATTCGAATCAATTCACATACATTCTCAACCATTTTGTTAAAGGAGCTTTCTTCATCTGTCAGACTGGGAACTTGTAAGATAAGCTTGCAATTATTTGTCATGAACTTTCTACCTTCGACCGAAGACCATTCTTTTGTGTCAGCAGACAAGTCATGTAATATGGGTTTTTTCATAGCTGGTAGGTTCTTTTTCTCTATTAACTTTGAATTTCCAGATGTTCTTTTAATGAATCCTAAATCCAAAGATTGAATATTATTGGGATATATAACTTTTTTCACCTGCACATGCTTATTAGTCTCTACAATGAATTTTGGGTTTCCGAGCATATGTAAAGAAAATTAATTTTTATTCGTGATGTTACCAGATTCGAGGGCAAATCTGGCTTCTATTTTTATTGAGTGCAGAATCAAGGGATACTTTGAGAATGGAAATAGATTTGTTATCATCGGGCTGTTTTTTTCTGGTAAAACCATTTCCTTTAGCAGATTTTATTATAGACTCACCTGCTTTTTTTTCTAATTCGAAAGCTTACTCCTATTTCCAATCAATCTCATAATGTAAACGTGTTTGGTCATTTCTTCCACAAATTTAGGTCCTTTAATCTGGGATAATTATCAACATAAGCTGTTTTAATTAAAAGGCTTTTGCTAGTCTCGTTAGGGAATACATCTTTCCAAAAATTAATTCGATTTTCCTATCGTAAAAGATATTTTCAAACAAAAAAAAATTTAATTAAATTGATCCCTAATCTTTTTTTTACTGTAATTTTGTTTGCTAAATGAAGACTTTTGGTTGTTTTATTATATAGATATTTTTCATGTAGTTATTTAGTTGTTTAAGTTCAGTTTAGGAATTTTTCGAAGTAAGCAAAAAAAGACAAAAGAGATTAAATTAAAACTTTTGTAACAAGTTAAATGGAACATTTGTCAAATTTAATTTATAATACACTAAATCGTTTAAGTAATTATTATCTTTTTTACTA